GATCAGCTTATCATTTTATAGCTTTGAAATTGAACTTTAAAAATCTACAGGTATAAACAGTATTATATTTCTATATCATTAATAGGCTGTTAGCTTTCCTAGGTTCTTGATGGAACCTACGAGTTCAAAAGAAGAGTCCAAATCAACTACTAAAGTATGGGAAAGTTGAGATTTAAGCTAAATATTTTCATCTTGAGCTCTCCGATACCATGTTATCTTTTCTTCTCTGTACAGTCTGTTGGACTCATCTGAAATCGTTTAATTTTTGGCAGAGTTGCTGCATCATCTCTGTTTGTCATTTTTGCCTGTTCTATTAAACGACCTCTATGTTTCCCAGAAGACTGTATCACCTTCCTATTTTCTCAAGTTCTTTTCTTGATATTGATTGGCTTTTGATTCATTCTCAATTTCACCATTTGTGTTAGAAGTGATGGAAAGTGACTTTTTCCCCCTTCTCGTTGCCTCTTTAAAAATAGATAGGCCATAGTCGCTTCTCTAGGGAATTTTGTCAAGGCAAAAGTTTAGAAATAAGGATGGTGTGTCCTTTGCTTGCACGTTGGCCTCAGACTAGGGTCATCTGGCTGACAGCTCTGTCTCCTAGGAAAGCTTTTCCTCTCCCAGTACTTTAAAAAGCCACAGAAATAGGTTTCAATTGATGTTTAGTTCCTTGTTCCCTTTGAAGTATCTTTCTTATTGATTTTATAGTGGAAGATTACTGATTTAGGTCTAATAGTCTATGATGTCTTTGTAGGAAATACCAGAAATAATCCAAATTATAGATTCTTATAATGTTTCTTAAAATGTTTATATCATTAACGGAAATTGTTTTTGATGTTTAGGCTGTGGGGGGATAGTCTCAAGTATCACCTCTGGCTGAATCCAGCACGTGCCCTAAATTCCACGTAATAAATTCGGTAATGTTTTCAGATAAACTGAATTTTAAGTATGCCAGGCCCTTTCCCCCTCTTTCCTTCTTGCTCTCTTTTCCTTCTTTCTTTCTTCCTAATATAAAAAATACAATGTGAAAACCTTAATTCAGATTTTGGGGAAGAGTTACCCGTAGTTCTAACTTTCCAAAACAACCATTTTCATTTTTCATGTATTACTTTCTTTCTTTGTCCACATATATGGAGTTTTCATGTGATTAAAGTAATATTTCATGTGATTAAAATTTATAGAGAAAATTTATAAATCTTAACATTAAACAAATAAGAGGCTAATGAAAAATTTCCTGTGGGGAGCAAAAGGACAGGATGGATGTTAGGGATTTGAGCCATGTTAGGTCCAGCTGGGTTGACTAATTTCAAAAATAAGGTTGTTCAAAATTATTAAAAAAGGAGGTGTTCTAAGATATCTAAAATTTACCCCATTATTTGCGTTTGGGCCTTTCAGTTTTTTTGGCCAGAATTTGTTCGGAAATGTCTAGTATACTTTTGCCTTGTTGATGGTATAGTAAAAAGAGAATGAGATTTAGATGGAGCAGATTGTGCTAGTTTCCCATCACTTACCTGCCTGTGATCAGGACAACACTCTTCACCTTTCTGAGCTTCAATAGGAATAAAAATTGTTAAATCTAGAATACTTTAAGAATTAGATTAAAAATGCCAATATTGGATTCACATACCAGGCAATTGTGTGTCATAAGAGAGAGATGAATAACTAACATGTATAACTAATTGAATCTTTTCTTTGTGACTATGGTTATCATTAGTGTAATGGGTATCCTTTTGTGTAAATTTTGGTGGTTTGATGCATTGGGTGGGTGTGTCTGAACTCCAGGATCTTATGCGGAAACGAGGCTTGTCCGAGAGTGCTTGTTGAAGATTACTGGCTGATGAGTGACAAGGTGATACTCATGTATTTTAATTCCTATTCGTAGTTTATTTTTATTCCTATTCGTAGTGAATTTTTATTCCTTTCTGGTAGATCACACCACAGCTGTTTATCTGTATGTGGACACCTTCAAGCAGCATTTAAACCGCCTTTGCACCAGAAATCACATCAACATCATGACATTAACTTGTTTCTGATTATAAAAATAACATTTGGAAAATAAGGAAGCATAAAGAGTGAAATGTAAAAAAACAGGTTATTATTTTCCTCCAATGGAAATAACCATTTATATTTATTGTATTGCCTCGTGATCTTTTTTCTCACCATAAAACTGTTTTCGCTTACCATGACATATGGGAATTTTCCCGTGTCCATCATTACTACATAGCAGCTTAAGGATAAAATTAGTTCTTGCAGAAAAACAAAATGCTGTTAACTTTTATAAGCTAAAGAGTGAACACACAGAAGAAATAGCATTAGCAGATTCAGTTACTAAGGGGCTACTCGTGGTTTGCTTGGAGAGGACAATGATAGGTATAGTGTCCTCAGTGATCAGTGTGCAGCGTGGTATAGTGAGGAGGGTACAGGCTTTGGATTGGGGCTGACCTGAGTGAATCCTGGTTCCGTCACCCACTAGCTTTGTGATGTTGGACAATCACATAACCTCTCTGATCTTTAGTTTCCTCATCTTTAAAATGGGATGAATAATGCCTGCCATTCAGGGCTGCTGTAGGATTAGAGACAATGTCTATAAATAAGTGCCTGGCCCACTGTCTGGATGTGTTAGGTAGGGAATAAACCATAGTCAGAAGAAACCTTAGGCCTAAGACTTATAAAATTTAAGCATGCATATGGAGAGCATGTTATAGACATAATAAACTAAGATAACTCTGTTCTAAAAATATTTATTTGTATAATTTGCCACTTCCCCTTTCTCTTACAAGTGTATTACTGCCAAAAGAGTACAAAATGGTGAAAAAGTGGCACTGCCTCAAAGATGATCTCTGCTCTGGCAGGGTCCTTAATTATGAGCTCCAGTAGGCCCCAGAGCAGGCTACAGTGTTAACCTCATCTCAGGAAACCCTTTCAGAGGGTCTGCAGCAGGACAGACCTGGGTTAGTTTGTGGGTATTCACTGATAAGTTCCCAAGGGACGTCCACAATCCAGTGTCAAGTGACCTTTGCTGCAAGAGATCCAACTCAGAAAAAGGGAAAACCTTTTCAAGGCACTTAAAAAAGATTCAGAATGAAAATAGCCTTAGTGAGCCCTATTGTGGGTGCTGGGGTGGAGGGTATAAATTCTGAAAACTTAAGTTGTTTATTGAACATACAAATATAAGTGAAAATTTCGTATTTCTTTTAGCCAGTAAAAGGTTAATTCCTGGGTGTGTCTGAGTAAAAACAACACTAATCTGATCTTTATTTCCACGTTAGTCTGCAAAGTTAGAGGGATCCACAGGTGGTGGTTGCTCATGTCTGATCTAGGATGAGTCAGAGAGGCAGACACAGCCCGAAGAAGAATCCAAGTGGGGTGGTGGTAAATGTAGTAATAGATACAAGTATGGTATTAGACGAGTGGTTAATTCTTACAAGGGAAACAGGAAGATGTCTCTAAGGAAATGATACTTAGGTAGGTCTTGCAGGAATGAACAGAAGTTCACCAAGAAGGATAACAGCCTTCCAGGCCCGGAAAACTGTATGAGCAAGACACGGGGTGTAGGGTAATGCCGTTCCGAGAATGGACGTAACTGTGGTTTGTGGAGGGCGTGAGGAAGGTGGTGGGGCCACGAGCTTGAAGCCACTGCACTAGCACTACATTTGACTTTTACCAAAGACAGCAAGGTTTTTATTTCCACTCCAGAGAAAGGGTGGAGTATTACATAATTAGTAAAAGCAGAAAGAATAACATGGCCAATCAATGTAAAGTAATGATTTTTAAAACACAGAAAAGGCACTCAAATGTGCCCTGCTGACAACAGACCATTTTTCAGGGAAGTGGACAGTGTCCTATTCCAGTCCAGCCAGAAGGTAAAGGCTTCGGAGAAGAATCAAGTCGCCACCCCCCATCAGAATATATCAGCCAAGGACCTGGTGGGCGACACAGCTACGCCATCTGCTTTGACGTGTCATGTAAAGGGTTAAAATGCATTAATGCCCTCAGCCACTGATGCTCTCTAACCTTCCAGAATTCACCACTGATTTGGTTAGAGGTAACTTTACAGAGAGAAGTTTATATAAATGGCAAATATGTATATATCTCTCTTTAAAAATTAAGACAGGGATAAGAGACACTTCGGTGGGGACACAGGCAGGAAATACTCAAGTGAATAGAAGAGGGGACAGCGTAAGACTCGGGCTGTTGTTCTTGTGCCGTTTCTCACAATGATTCCTGATTTTTCCTCTACTTTAAGCACTGGATGAGAAGTCAGGAAACCAGGATTCTAGGCTCAGCGATATCATTTCTCAACATCCTCCTCATCTCAGACTAGTCCGTTTCCTTCCCCAGGCCACAGTTCCTCATGTCTCGAATGAAAGGATTTTCAAATAGGTTCCCCAGCAAGTAGCACAGGTGCTTCAAGGGCCACTCTGGGAGATGAAGGACGGTCTCCTGCCGACCCTCCGCTTCCAGCAGAGCAGCTTGACTTCTATTTGTATTATAAATGGGGGCTTTTACAAGAGTTTTTGATAAAAGGACTTCATCGCTTTTTAAAAGTTTGAAAATCACTCATCTAGAGGATGTATCCAGCCCAGAAGCAATTTCCCCATCTGTACAGTGGGGAGAACGGTAGTTCCATTTCGTAGCCTTCTGGGGGTTGAACAAGATATTCCGTGTAGAACAGGGCATGGAACCTAGAGTCGCTGTGTGAGCTCTCATCCCCCACCCCAAATAGTCCCTCAGAGAGGACTGCACTTCCTCTGGCTCTTAAACTTTGAGTACAAAATGTTGATCTGAGAAAATTGCCTAATCCATCTGTTTTATACCAAAAACACTGTAAAAATGTCTTAGACACTTACTCTGTGAATTTTTAGTACCATCACTATTTTATTTCTGTTTTTCGTACATTGCTTTTTCCTCCCACAACTGAAAGTTTTCTTCTTCTACATTGGAATTTTGAAATAATTATGACCAGATGCAGTTATGAAATTGCACGTATCTATATGTTTCAGTCTTGCCAGATTGTGGGACAGTGACATCAGCGTCCACTCTCTGACCCTGCCCTCTGCTACCTGCCTGGAGCTGCTGCTGATACTGTCAAGGAATAATGCCTCGCTGCCCCCGTCGCTTCGCTGCATGAATTCCTTTCAGGTGAGGAGCTGCTCCTTTAACGCTGTGATTTCCCAGTTTTACTTATTATTATTTTTTAAGCATCCTTTTTTTCACAAGAGATTGCCCATGGAAACTGGTTTCTGATGATAATAATAATGAGCACAATGCATATATTGCCTTGTCTAGCTCTTTTTAAAGAAATGAACAAACTGAGGCTCAAAATTGATTAGGCAATTGTCTAGTAGCAGCAGAACCCATATTTCCCTAACTCCAGAGTTTGTTCTCTTAATCTCTCTTTCCTGCCTCTGAGAGAAATGGCAAGAACATCTGGCAAAGAACATTTGTGCATACCACTTCCCTTTCCTCAGCTTTGCCCTAGAACGAGGATTTTCAACCATTATTAGTAATGTTGCTACTGTTAGCTTGCAGTCAAATTGCCAAATGGATGTTTACCAGTGATGGTGTCCTCCCTGTTCTCGGCACCTTTTCCCTGGCTCCCTATCTGTGCTCCTGGTAAAGGACATGGGCAGAGTAGAGTAGCAAATGTGGACTGACCAGCGGGAAAACCCCTTCCTTTCCTGGTAGTCAGCTAGTGTCACTGAGGTGGCAAGTGAGGATTAAGATGTTAACCAGTCACCAAAGTTGTGACCCTATAGCTACTCAATGTAATTGAACATATCTACGACCTTGACGATGGAAATGTATTCGCTGCGGCTGGTGAGAAGGCTGCCTGCGTTCCTGAGAAATGAGTCAATGTGGTTGGTTCTGCTTCTGAAGGGCTGCTGATGTATCCTCAGATAACTCCAGATCAGTATATATCGCTTGGTGTGCCTCTGTGGTAAAATAAGATATGTGGATTTTCCTATGAATTCTACCCCAGGAAAATGGTAAAAAAATAACTACTCCAATGTAATTTGCGTCCATATTCTCCTGGTAATCTGGTACATTGATCTTCTTCCTGATACCAATTTCAGACTTTGGCCTTGGTGTACCTGATTGTATTTATCGTTACTCAGTTATCAACTTCAATCCTGAATTCTCAAAGGGACCTCAGAGAGCACCTTCTTGTTTTGTAGGAGAGGAAACTGAGGCCCAGAGAGATGGAGTGAGTTGACCAGGGAACACCCAATGTGGTAGAGATGGAGCTGGGCTCACCTGGCTTGTGCCCAGCTCACTGCCTCTGCTCCCCAGATGCAGGACTCGCTTAGGTCCTGGGAGGCGGAGGGGGTGTGAGTGGTGGGTGAAGGCAGGTCGTATCTACCTTGGGGTGTCTATAAATTTTGTAGTAATTTATAATTATTTTATTTGTATACTACCCTGAGCCAGAAGTGATTTAAAATTTTGTGTATGAACCCATATGTCTTCCAAATTTTGTTCTTTGGCTTGAACACTGAATAACACAAAAGTTTGTGTATGCCCACAAACTTGTATGGAGGGAGAGATGAGAAACTTCACAGCAGTTACCTTTGGGGAACAAGGCTGGAGGACAGTTATTTTTTATTTCACTCTGTCATGTACTGTTTGAAATTTTTATGTGATGAGTGAGTGGGGAGCAAGAGAGATGACTCTGACTTCGGGGACTTTATAGCATATTGGGGGAGAGAGAGCATTTATCCATGTGTGATATAAATTGGAAATAATTTTATTACAAAGTAGCCTCCACTAAAGCCTTAAAAAGATTAAAGGTAAAAGAGTAAGGTAAACTGATGCGGGGGATTTGAGGGCAGGCCCAGTCTCTTCTGCAGGCGGCAGAGGAGTTGTTACTCCTTTAAGGATCTCAGCTCAGCCTCGTGTAAACACACGGGCAGGAGAGCCTGGATGCTCTTGGTGGCGTTAATGTCCTTTCGTAGCCCTTTGAAATCATAGGAGCTCTCAGAGCTGTCAGGATGCTGATTACTGAACGTCCCTCTCTGTGGTACTTCATCTGGTTTTAGTCCGTTTGCTGAATATTATTGTCAGGAGCACATACACTTTCCCAATTTCAAAGGTACAGGGAAACTTGGCACAAGTTCATGAACAATGTCTGCTAAAGAGATTTTGTCCCTGCTGCTACCCCTGGAAAGATGCATTCTCCTCAGGAACAAAGCAGACAGCAACTTCCCTATGCAGGTCTCCACTCCCAAGATAAAGGATCAGTGAAAAAGGGGAGGATGTCTGTCAGGATTAGAAAGAGGTGCCTGCTTTTTCATCTTCATAACAGCTACTTAGTCATTTATTACAATGGCAGAGAATGGGGCTGCTAATTTTGCCCATATTTGGGATTCATTTTTTCAAATGGAAACTCATTTTAATGCACATTTTTTTTAAGAGCTGTATTGGTAAAAACTGTAAAATAGTCAAATGACACTTGTTAAGATACCATCTTTGCATTTCTAGTTCTCTTACTTTCCAGGCCAAGTCAGTTACTGGGAGCAATGCTTCTTTTTCTGTAAAAGTGTTATTTTAGCTTTCCGAGGATCAAATGGCACTCCTGCTTGAGCTGTTATCACTGCCAAATCCCAAAAGGAAGGATTTATCTGATTAATTAGAGCTATTAACATATCTGAAACTCTAACTTCTTAAATTACAGCGTAACATTTCTCTCAGGCCGGTGGGGATATATTTTGGTGGTTGTGTTATAATTTTGACTTCCGCTCTGTTACAGTACTGTCATACCCCTAGTGTGATTATGAGCAGACGCATATAGGATTTGGTTGAGAATCACTGACGTATTGCTAAGCACAGGCTGTAGTTGTTGCAGCCCCAAGAGGCGGCAGGGACTTACATGCCACTCCCTCCTTCCACTTCTTCCATGACTTCCTGTTGCAATGAGAATAAAATCCTAACATCTTATCCTGACCTACAAGGCCTGGCAGCATCTGGCCCTGCCTCCCTCCTACCTCATCTCCTGCTCCCTCCCTCCGTCTCTGCTTTAGTCACACGGGCCTTCTCTCCTGCTCCCTATCCCAACAAGCGGGTTCTGGCTGTAGCAGGTTCTGGTCTGTGCACTGGCTCTTTTCTCTCCTACCAGGATAATCTGGACCAGATCTTTTCATGGCTGGGTCCTTCTTATCCTTCAGGTCTCATTTCAGGTGTCCCCTCCCCCAAGAGGCCTGACCTGACCCCCCTCTCGAGCTCCCCTTTCGCCGTCACCATTATTTATAACCTCGCCTTGTTTTGTTTTCTTGATAGCACTTTTCACTATTTAAAATGATCGCATTCATTTATTTGTTTGTCTTTTTTCCTCTACTACATTGTGTGTGGAATGAGAACAGGGAGAATGTCTGTTTTTGTTCAGTATTGCATCAACAGAACTTAGAACAGTACTTGGATGTAGGAAGCATTTAAAAAATCTTGGATGATTTCTGTAGATGGCTGGATGGGTGGATGGATGCACAGGTAGAATTCAAGTTGGCATAGCCGTTTGACATTCGAGAGGATTCCAAAAGTCTGAGCTGGGGGAAGCAGAGGCGTGAGCAGTACATACTCGCTTGGGGCAGAAGCAGCAGCCCTTTCCCTGCTGGGACAGGTAGACGCAACAGGTGAGGTCCGGGTTTGAGATGTGTCAGCAAGATGGAACACAGATGGGAATCTGCTTTGAAACTACAGCCTGGAGCTTTGTACAAATGAGAAAGACTCGAAGAAAAGTTGAGTCCTTGGAAAGAACTGGCAAGACTCAAGATAAGCACAGTGACCAGTATACAGGACTGGGCTCCCTCTGGCCACTGGAGACCACAGTAGGGGAAACAGGAATGACGCCCAAGCTTTGGTGTCAGAAACCAAGGCAGAGGGGCTTACAGGTGCCAATGGGTCCTCTGGCATGAGGTGGGTTGCAGCCACTGCTGCCATCACTGCTGCCAGTTTGATTGCACTTTGAGTACTTCAGAGCACTGAGGTGAGGTGGCAGAAGGCCATTTCCATATGCCTCTTGCTGGGCAACAACCAGCTCCTTAACCCAAAGTCCTGCAATAACAACCTTAAATCTGAGTAAGGTGCCTGGAAGGTAGAACCTTAAGAGAAACCAAGTTGGATCCAGGACGGGGCAGTGTTTGCTGGTTTTAATGGTACTGGTCCGATTTCTTAGAATCCTGGACTGTTGTAGCCGGAAGGACCAACTAGTCAACTGACCTTATTTTTGTGGATAAGGAAACAGAGCCAGAAGGGTAAGTTGATGTTGGAGACTGAAACTGATTCCTATGTTACGCTCTTGTTGCTGCACGTGATGCTGACTCCTCTTCGGGTAGAAAGGGGATTTTTCTATACTAGCATCTTCCTATTCCATGGGTCACAGGTTCCTTAGGATATAAATAAGTGTTGTAGAAAACAATTAGGTATTTAATCATCAGATAATGATAATGCAAATTATAATAGCTAATATTTATTCAACGCTTTCTGTATGCCAGGCACTGGTCTCAATGATTTGCACTTATTAGCTCATTTCATTTTCACGAGAACACCGTGAGGAAGGTATGTTAGCATTCCCATTTCACAGGTACAGAAACTGAGCCAGAGAGATTAACTTGTCTGTGCTCACACAACTGGTAAGTGGAGCAGCATGAGGTACAAAGCCTGGCTCCAGAACTCTCTATTCTTAACCACTAGGCAATGTTGCCTTTGTAAAGAAGTTTGGTTAAACAAAGTTAGATTTATTTTTAACTGCGGGACTTTTCAGGGCCTTTCCTTTGTGTAAGAGGCATTGTGACTCTCCTAGTTGAAGAAAACAGTAAACGTTATTTCCCAAATGTACTTGATATCAGGAAAACTTTTTCGAGGGGCAGTTTATGGGATTAATCTCTCAGAACACAGATGGGGAGACACTGTTCTAGCCAATGTCAAAAACTTCAGATGCCCCAGGCAGAGTACTCATGTGCACATTCTTCGTGGCGGGCTTGCTTTTCTCCAACAGAAGCAGTGCTGCAGGTTTAGAGATTGGTTGTCAAGGGCATGCCATTTCTTCCTTTGGTGACTAGATGGTTCTCCTTCTGGTCAGGGCTGCCTTGGTCAGGATAGTACCACAGGAGTGAGATCTGCTTTGTCATTTCTTGGGGCACGCTGAATCA